GGGAGGGAAGGGGAGACCGGAAAAGGACAATAGTTCAGAGACCCCCTGGCCTGTGCTTCTGGGGCTTGGTTTCTGAGAGGTGACCTGGGCCTTGGGTTCTTGGATTGGGTCTTCCCAGGCTGCCATGTGAGCGACACACACAGGCTCACACACACTATTCACTCTGTCCTGGAGGCTGGAGTTTGAGGCCAGGTGCCAGAGGGCAGGTTGCTCCAAGGCTACTCAGCTTGCAGCATGCCTCTGCTCTCTGTGTCTTTATGGCCATCCCTCTCTGTGGGTGTCTAGTACCCCAAGTTCTTCTAATCTGGACAGCAGACTAATCTGGAGAGCAGACTCCAAACAGGTGTGCTGTGAGGTCCTCAGGGCTGGCCTTCCTTCCACAGAGGGATTTGAACCGAGGCCTAAATTCAGCTCACACGGACCCCCACACCTGAGTGTCTTGGCTGAGCAGCCTACTGGATGGGCTGTGTTCTCCGTGGGGTGTCTGTGTGTGCCCTCAGTGGAGCCTGGCAGAGCAGGTGTTTAGCTTGTCTCCAGAATAAGCGTGAGTGACAAGCTCCAGGGCAGAGCCGACACCCAGGGCCACTTGGCTCTGCCCCTCCGGGAAGCTGCCTGGCACCCAGGGCAGCCCAGCCACTGCTTAGGCCTGGGTATGGGACAAGGGAATAAGTCACTAAGACAGGGGCAAAAGTGGGGATAGGGCTCTACTGTGGGAAGCCCAGGCCAGAGGTTCACTGCTTCTGCAAGGAGCTCTCAGAAGCTCAGTCTCCTTTGCTTTTGGCCCTGGAAAAATACCTCCTGGGAGGTTGGCAGGATCTGTTGTCCAGCATTCCCCATTTAAACAAGAGAAGGCAGGAGAGAAGGTGCAGCAGTTAGGAGCATTTGCTGTTCTTGTAGAGGGTCTGGATTTGATTCCCAGCACCCACATGGCAGTTGAATCCAGTTCCAGGGAATCTGACACCCTCTTCTGGTCTGTGCAGGCACTGTATGCATATGGTGTACTTACATACATGCAATCAAACACTCATATGCACAAAATAAATAATAAAAATTAAAAAGGTACCTCATCAGTTAAGAGCACTTGGCTGCTCTTGTAGAGGAATGGGGTTCAGTTCCCAGCATTCACATGGCATCTCACAACAGTCTGTAACTCCTGTTCTAGGCAATCTGATACCCTCTTCTGGCCTCTGCAGGCACTGTATACATATGCTGCACCTGTATATAAGCAAAAACCAAAAAATCACACACAATAAAAGAAATCATTGGGCTGGAGAGATGGTTCAGTGGTTAAGAGCATTGACTGTTCTTGCAGAGGACCCACATGGTGGCTAACAACCATCTGTAACTCCAGTTCCAGGGTATCTGATGCCTTCTTCTGACCTCCATGGGCATTGTATGACACAGGTGCATATACATACATGCAGACAATACACTCATACACGCAAAATAAAATATCCTGTAGTCCCAGCACTTAGGAGGCAGAGGCAGGCAGATCTCTGTGAGTTCGAGGCCAGCCTGGTCTACATAGTAAGTTCCAGGACAGCTGGGGCTACAGGGAGACCCTGTCTCAAAAAGACCCAAAAAAATTTTATGTATATGTACATGAGTATATTCCCTAAATGTATGTAAGTGCACCCGTGTCAGGCAGTGCCTTCGGAGGTCAGAAGAGGGCACTGGATCCCCTGGAGCTGGAGTTATGGACAGTTGTTAGCTGCCATATGGGTGCTGGGAACTGAACCTGGGTCCTCTGCAAGAGCAGCCAGTGCTCTTAACCACTGAGCCATCTCTCCAGCCCCAACTTTTTTTTTTTATTGAGACAGAGTCTCTCACTGGGACCCTAGGCTCTCTGATTAGGCTTGGATGACTGGCCAGTGAGCCCCAGAAATCAACCTGTATCCGCTTCCCCAGTGCTAGGGTTGGGAGCATGCACCATACCAGCTTTTTATACATGGGTTCAAGCTCAGAGCTTCAAGCTTACATGATAAGTACTTGACTGAACTACCTCCCTATTCCGTTTTGTTATTTCCGTATTTATTTGTTTTGTCCTGGGGATGGAACCCAGGGCCCTATGCATAGTAGGCAAGCTCTGACACTGAACTACATCCTTAGCCCTTTAAAACTAGTTTTTGCATTTTTCTTTTTCTTTTTGTCTTTTTGGGATAGGGTCTCCCTGTGGCCCCAGCTGGCCTGAAACTCACTGTGTAGACCAGGCTGGCCTTGAACTCACAGAGATCCACCTGCCTCTGCCTCTCGAGTGCCAGGGTTAAAGGCGTGCACCACCACCCCCGGCTTAGTGCAGTTCAGAGGCCCTCACAGTGCCACACAGTCACCAGAACTGGGCTCTCGCCCAGTGCCAGAACATTCCATCCTGTGATGTCAAACTTGTAGCCAGCAAGCAGCCATACCCATGGTTCCTCTCCTAGCCTCAGGAATGGCTGGTCTGCCTTCTGTCCCTGAGGTTTTAATTACTGAGGACTTTTTATAGAAACAGAATCACATATCTAGTGGTCCCTTGACTAGCTTTTTTTAAAATTTATTTTTATTTTATGTGTATGAGTATATTGCCTGCATGTATGTTAAGTTCACCCAGGTCCTACAGTGCCTGCAGAGGTCAAAAAATGGCGTTGGATTCCCTGGAACTGTTTCTGGGCGGTTGTTAGCCACCATGTGGGTGCTGGGAACTAAACCTAGGTCCTAAGCAAGAGCAGCCAGTGCTCTTAACCAATGAGCCATCTTTCTAGTTCCTAGTTTCTCTCTTTTTAAAAAAAAATTTTTTAATTTTTAATTTTTTCAAATATAACTCGTTTTATTTGTTGATTTGTGTGTGTGTGTGTGTGTGTGTGTGTGTGTGTGTG